CCAGCAAGGGCTGCCGACCATCGTACAACCTGTGTGTGTACCAAACACAGCTGTGTGAAAAACCTAACCTGCCAGGCTCTGCACCTTGAGCCAGAACAAAGAAATCCAGACCGTGATCATACTCCAAGCTCCTCAACATATGCCAATAATAGATCCTTGTTCAAGCTAGGGATTTTGAACACAGATGGCACAGGGGTCCACAGAATGAAGGCTAATGTACTGAGGTACAGAGGAGACACCTAAAGACAAAACAGATCTTCCAAGAGCTCATGATCATTGGGACATTTGGATAAGTTCAGCCAGTGCATACATGACTTTTATCCATGCCAGTCACCACGGCTTTTAGTATGTTAAAAATATTAAACATATCTGACACTGGTGTCTCACATCTGTAATACTGGTTACTCAGGAGGCTGAGATCTGAGGATCATGGTTTGAAGCCAATCTGAGAAGGAAACTATGAGACTTTTATCTCCAAATAACTACCAAAAAAGCCAGAAGTGCAGCTGTGGCTCAAGTGGACAAGTGCTAGCTTTGAGCAGAATAAGGCTCAGGGACAGTGACCAGGCCCTGAATTCAAGCTCCAGGACTGTCACAACATGTACATACACAAATTTTGGTGACAGGTGAGCTCTTCATAAGGAAAAGCCTCCACAGAATTCATAATTCATCAGTGAGGCTCAAGACACTCTGGGCTGATAGAGTCCCAACAGAATGGATTATCTCATCTTCACCAATCTACCCCATGGAAGTTTCCAGAATACTTACCCCCAAAGTTTTCCATATTTTTTCATAACATTCTACATCAAAAGCTACAATGCCCTGAGAAGAGAAATAAAGATAAATGTTACATGTGTAAGACCTCGTCCAAATACATTCCCCTTGATCACGTTCTAGAACAAGTTTGTATATGCAGTATGTCACTTTGAAGTGGCTTTCATCCAAGCATTCCCGGGGAGGAGGGAGAGCCTGGGCTGGCTTCAAACTGCAATTCCCAGGTCATTGGCTGTCTAGGAACTAAGATGATATATTTAAGCACAGTACCCAGCAGACATGTCCAATCTTTTATCTTTTATCTCCTCATGCAACTTGTTTTTTGTTTACCAAACGAAGTTCCTGGAGGTGGGATGTTCAAGTCACCTCTTCTGGCATAGGAAATTAATGTAAGACTCTGGCAGAAGTCAGAGTGCAAGTGAAGGCAAAGTGAATTTGCTCAATATGAAAACATAAGAGTGATGCCATCTCTACCCATAGGGCACCATAATTAGAACACTTCCTCTGAGGTTTGATTCTGAAGGTAGCAAAAAAAAAAGGAAAAGGAAAAAGAAAACTTCTGATGAGGTACTCAATTGTGGTATTTTAACTGTGCAAATAAAAGTCCCTAGAGCTGAGAATGACTCTTCCTGGAATTAGCTCTGGTAGGGAAAAATCCTTGGTGCTCACCAAGTCTAACTTTCAAGTTCTCAACATGAGTGCCAAGATGCTGAAAATCTGCGTGGATCCACTGATGCCCCTTGGATGCTCTGAAGAGCTCAACACAGAGCCCTGCAGTACACCTGGCCATACTTTAGGGGGAGCGCGCACACAGCTTCTGAAAGTCAGCATTTCCTCTCCACCAACAACACTTTCTATAGATGGAAGGAAGCCAGTCTTTGCAACCAGAAAAGCAAAATGTAGAGCTCAAACAACACTCACCTTACGATAACCAAGAATAGTTCCAACAAAGGGCAGAGGTTTCGGGCCAGGAATTCCCAACTTTTTAAAAACTCTATGTGGATAGGTCCCATATCTATAAATATTAGAAGAAATCCAGGTCACACACACACAAACACACAAACACACACACACACACACACACACACACACACACACCCTGTACACATATGGAAAGTTGCCAGTTACTAACTCAAGAAGTAGGGCAGTCAAACTGGGATAGTAACACGTCGGAAATAATAAAAACCAGAAACTCAAACAGCAATGATTACCCATGTTCTACAGTTCCTTTCTTACGGCCTCTGAGAGAACCCCAAAAGTCACAAAAATGAGCTAAAGGTAGCTGGAGTCTTTAGGCTCTTCAACCTTCAGTGGATAGTTGATAGAAGTCAATAACCTAGTTTTGGAATATTACTGTGTAAATAATGTCATTTGCAGGAAAATAGAACTGGAAAACATCTTATTGATGTGAGATATGTCATGTTCCAAAAGCCAAACATTACATGCTATCGCTCATCTCTGAAATGATCATTATGATGATGAAGGTGATGATGATGGTAGTGATGAGGAGGAGGAGGAGGAAAATGAAGATGACAGCAATAAGAACAGGATATAATTAAAAGGAGGAATGTCTGGGGGGATGGGTTGAATGGGGAGAGAGGGAAAGAAAGGATACCAAAGACTGATGAGTATTAAAAGATGGTACATGTGTTACACATGCTAGATTTTGTGTATGTGTATGTATAAAGATAACACAATGGGTGCAGTAAACACTGTTTGAAAAGATGGAAGGAGGAGAGAAGGGAGGATAGAATAGAGGAAGTGAATGTGTTCAAAGTTTATTGCACCCATGTATGAAATTATCATAATAAAAACGCCTGTATTACCAATGTATGTTCATTCAGAAATAAAAGTAAATTTAAACAATCGATGAATTAAAACAATGTGCTGATGAGGTAAGTTTTGTATGTGTGTGTGTGTGTGTTGAGAGAGTGAGACAGAGAGAGAGAGAGAGAGACAGAGAGAGAGAGTGAGAGAGAGAAACGGGAGCCTCATGGTACATGTCTGTAATCCTAGCTATAAGGAGGCTGAGATCTGAGGATTGTGGTTTGAAGGTAACCTGGGCAGGAAAGTCTGTAACACACATTTCTCTGTGTGTGTGTGTGTGTGTGTGTGTGTGTGTGTGTATGAGTGAGTGTATGGTTGTGGGGCCTGAACTCAGGGGTAGGTCTTGAACTAAGAGACTGGGTACTGTCCCTGAGCTCTTTCTGCTCAAGGCTGATGCTTTGAGCCACAGTACCTCTTCCAGTTTTATAGTCGTTAATTGGAGGTAAGGCTCACAACCCTTCCTGTCCAGGCTGGCTTTGAACCATGATCCTCGGATCTCAGCCTCTGGAGTAGCTAGGATTTCAAGCGTGAGCCACCAGCACCTGGCTGTGAGACTCTACTCTCCAATTAGCCACCAAAAATATCCAGAAGTGGACCTGTGGCTCAAGTGGTAGAGTGAGAACCTTAAGTAAAAAAAAGTCCTGGGACAATGCATAGGACATGTGGTAAAGCCCAAGTCCAGCACCAAAACAAACAATAGAGACCTTCCACCCCAAGTATCTTGAGGTCGCTGCAAGGGTGATCAGTTCATATTCTGCTTCTGCTGAATTTGAGTCTTTAATTCAGACCCAAAAATCAACTCAGAGATCATTTCCAAGCAATGGCACTAGCACACAGAGAGAGAGAGAGACAGAGACAGAGAGACAGAGACAGAGAGACAGAGACAGATTGAAGAGTTCCATGAAAGAGAAATATTTCTTAACTCTCTCCTGGGATCTCTACAGGATAATCCCGTAAGGTGTTAAATCTGACTCTTGAGCAATTGTCCCATTTGTTTTTCTTTTAGATATTCCCAATCAACAGACCATAATAATCCTCACCCTGAATCCTAGGTTATGGGGTGGTAGGAGAAGCAGAGTTCAGACAATTAATTACTCACAGATAAAGGAGCACCAAGCTGGTAGCCAGGAGGATCCAGGTTTCTATGGAAAAGTTTGGGATCAAGTCCATGGTCACTCTCATCCAGTAATTCTCTCCTCTGACTTTTCCTTTCAGCCCTGGGTTGTGCTGGCTGCAGAGCTGAGGCTGCTGCCATTTATGGCTGGGATAGAAGGTGGGGCTGATGGCAGAGCCAATAGAAATATTACCTGTGCCCACACACCCCACTGGCATGTGAGTTAGATAATCGTCTTCTCCCAGTTTTGTCAGTGGACAAGGAATCATGGATGTGTAAACTTTGAACTTTGAATTCACATTTTATAAATGTACCAGTAAGTAAATGCAACCATTGTTATCATTAGGGCCAAAAGTTACAAATTGCCTGGCAGAAAGTCAAGTGCAGGCACTCGGTCCTCTAAGCTCTTATATCCAAGGTGGCTCTTATTCCAACATACTTAAAACTGCACCCAAATAAATG